GTGTGTGTGTGTGTGTGTGTGTGTGTGTACTCTAATACGATAGAAATACTTCCAGTCAAACAGCGCACGCTCCTTAGATCCATCTCTGGTCCAATAGGAGATGTTTGAGTCATTGGCGTGCAATAATAGGCAATACCTTCTTTTTGGTTTCTTGTGATAACGTTACAATACTACTCACGTTAACTAAAAAGAGGACAAAATAAAAAAAAATTTTTTTTTATTCTAAGACATCGACAATTCAATTGTTAATGCATATTTATTTTTGTCTACAGAATACGGCATTAGAGATTCAACAGAAATTTGATAACGCTACATTTGCCAAACTTACACGCGAGTGTATTAATCACGTTCTGGAAAAGTCGCCTATTGAACGAGAACTAATCTCGAAATTGTTATCCCATTTGCTTAGGCAAAATATTCTGCCTATGGAGTGTTTCAAGAATGGGTAAGTTACTTCTTCGTTTGTACAATAAATTATTGCAAAGTAAAAATAAAGTTAGTAAATTATGTATTAATTAGTGATGAAAATCCTTATACAGAATTAATGAAGACCCCCCCCAAAACTGAAATTATTTGCATAAAGCTAATCTTTTAATGCCAAATTTTTTCACCAAAACTGTTGCAAATACAAACAAATTTTGTTTTAGATTAGGAGAAGTGCTGGAAATAGTAGATGATTTGGTTATTGATATACCGAAAATTTGGACTTATATAGCTGAAATACTGTGTAAGTAATATGTGCATCTCTTTGCAAATTAATCATATAATGATAAGATAGAGATAAAAATGTTTCTTTTGTGATGACGATTACATTTTACGCCATAGAAAAATATCGTGCGGGTAATAAATAGCTCAACAGGCCTGAAGAAATATACATAATAATTAATTTGTCCTATTAATTTGAAATCGATTCACATGCATGACAATCTGTGTTGCAGCACATTCGATAGAGGACGGAGCTATCGCATTATCCGAATTGGAGAGTATATGTATAAGTTTGAGGAGGCAAGGCTTTGTAGGAAAATTCCTTGGAGAACTTCTAATGAAAGTATCTCGTAACAAAGGACCTAAGTGGCTTGCCGACAAGTGGGACCAAAACAACCTACAACTACACACATTAATTGATCCGGAACGAGAAAATGCTGAGAAGATTATACAAGAATACGTATGTATACATTGCATTCCTTTCTCTTCCATGTTTCATTTTCCCTTATAGGACAGTATTAATCTAAACATTTTATTATTCTCAGTTTACCCATGTTATTGTTTACCATTTGTTTGTAAGAACTGGGTAGCTTAAAGATAGATCAGATAAACGGAAAATTAAGATTCAATATCTTTGCTGTTCCAACTAGTGTAGCCAAGCAGTAATCTTGTTTTATGCACATATAATCTTATTGATTTCATTATTCTTACTTTTAGAACTTGGAGTTTCTGACTGGTGATTATAATAGTGCCAAAGACTCCATTGCTATCGAGCAACTCTCGTTGGAGAAAATTCAAGAAAATCTCGTAAGGCTCATGAAAGAAAATACTTCTTTTGATGAAATTTGCAGTTGGATAACTGTAAGCATAGTAAAATTGACACACGTGTTCTCTGTATTTATATAGATAACTTTCTCACAATCAACCTATTGTTTCAGGCAAACGTTGGTGATAGAGAGAAGGATCCCATGTTTATAAGACATTTGATGACTGCCATCTTAGAAACTACATTAGGTACATATCATAATACACTATTTTTCGAAATATTTAAAATCCTGATTTGTTTAACTTCGTAATAAAATAAGCATGATGATAATCTTTTTTTTTTTAGAGTAAAGATATATGTGAATTATCTTTGTGTTGTTAAGCCAAAAGGATACTGATATGATTTTTTTGTGAAAATAATTACTATAAAGTTTTTCATATTTTATAAATCGTTTTTCTCTTTGTATGTGCAGAACGACATCATGGTACTTGGAAACTAAACCTAGAATCTTTTGCTAGTTTGCAAACGTTGATTCAACGGTTTGTCGACGCAGACGAATTATTAGAATTGCAATGCCTTTATGCAATTCAAAGATACATTAAGCTTATCGAGTTTCCACCTGGTAAGTAAAATGTGAAAATGTTTTTACATGTATTATTACACCGACGTTTTGTTTTATTTCTTAACATATTTCCTTCAAAATAAAAATTTATATACGCATATATAAATGTTTTTTCTATGGATATACAGATTGCGTACGAAATTTATGATGATAAAATTTTGTTTAGAGTAAAGATATATATGTAAATTATCTTTGTGTTGTCAAGCCAAAAGGATTCTGATATGACTTGTGAAAATAATAACTTTAAACATTTTTAGATCGATAATTTAAATTGTTTTTCTCTTGTGTTTTCAATCATAGGTGCTCTTGTTTCCATTATGAATCGATTGTGGATGGACAATGTGATATCAAGCGACGCGTTCCTGACGTGGCAACAGAAACCGCCAGAAGGAGCTGATGTCGAAGGCCATAGCGTCTCACTCGTCACTCTTACGTCGTTTTTCACCGACTTACAAGAACCGGACGATAATTCCAGTGTCGAGGAATTGTCAACTAGTGCGAATCAGGGCTGTTGACGATACTGTGATCGATTGCATTATCGTCTATTAAAAAGACTTAAATATGCGTTTCCTCGTTGAAAGGAAAATACAACGCCCGAAATCAAATTACTGTTGTGTTTTTTTTTCGTAAACATTGAAAACGCATGAACGCTTCAAGTATTGAAGGAAAGAACAATATACTAAATAATGAAATGACAACGTAAATGTATGTAATATAATCTATAACTCCAACGACTCTCTACCAATAAGTAAAGAGAAGTGAGAGTGTGACTAAATAAACAAACGACAGCTGTATTTGAAATACAGTATACATAATAAAGATAAAGTTTAACTATTAATTATTACAGAACTATGCAAAATAATTATTATATATAATTCAATAAAATGGTTCAAAGTTTAAATAAAGCAAAAAAAAGTGGCTCGAAAAATAATTATTATCGTGTTTCTTATGTAAAATGTCTCTGCAGCGCGAAGTAGGTCGATCGCTCAATAGAACCGGAACATGCGTCTCTTTTTTTTTCCATTGCTTGGAATCGGGAAGACTAAACGTTACTTCCAATTATATTAACGCTAATATCGCGGATCACAAACCGAAGTGCTTGTTACACGATTTAGATAACAAATTGCAGATCGGAATATGCAATCTGAGAGTATAGGTCAATTTAAGTGGAATAAAAAATTCGGAAAGTAAGGAAAAGCAAAAGATAACTACCGAAATAAAACCAAGTCTGATACTGACAGCGATATGGTTCTTCCTATTATTGTAACGGAATACGGTATATATAACAGAATTACTAATTTATATCTTTGCAAATAAGAACTCATAATGTATCATATTATAAGAAAGGACATTCACGAAAAAAAAAAAAAAAATACGACAAGATATGGAATACAGTGAAAGTGAAGGATATATATTGCGGAGATAGGATCTGTAATCTAGAACACATTGAAGTTAGAAAATGAAAGATGATGAATGGTGTGCATATATACATATATATATATATATATTATATATATATATATTAAGGTACTATTTTTTAACACTAGCTATTTATAATCACAAGGAGTAAGAGAGAGAAAACATGAGAGAATGATAGAAAGAGTGAGAACAGAGTGCGACGCGTGGAAACATTGATATGTATCCACGTAGCTAATGCTGTAGCGAATTGTATAAAATTGTTATTAAACTGATTTGAGGTACAGCGTTTAGCTCGCCTTTGTTTCGAACGTGCTCGTATAGGAGAGACTGATTTTCTGTGTGCATGTGTGCGTGTACAGCTATCAAAGAATTATGTTTATCCGGCAACTATCGTTAAGTGCCGATACCACACGATTTATCGTACCTGTAAAAGGTATCCACACTCGGGAAAACTGCGAATTTCATAGAGGATGGACGCAGACTATATACGAGATATACTTTTGCAAAAGTATACAGAAGTCTTTGCTTTGGTCTCTCAAAAGAAATCGTCATCTGTCAGAACCTTCGATCTACCATTTTCGAAATACGAAACACGGACGAATCGATTACAGACTTGAAATTACATGGAACATACCTATATATTGTATGTAAATATATATATTATTATTTAAGTATATTAACAGAGTCTGCAATGTTTCATAATTTCTTTTTAGTTTGAAACATGAGTTACAGTATTCATCTGTAACGTTTCTATATATTCTACCCCTTCCTGAACCTTCTTATTATAAAGTTTTTTTTTCTCTTTTTGCGACAATTCTTTTCGAATATTATTGCAGACGCACTTTCTTCAGGTAAACTCAGTTGAAGAATTCAGTCATAAAACACAGCTTTGCACAAAAATCGTCGTAGTTAACTAAACTATGGGACCAATCATGTAATTCGAATTTAAATAAAATAACAAAGTTCGTCGAATTTATTTATATTTTCACGAAAGGGATAGGAGAGAAGAGCTGTGTGCACATGTATATCGCACGCGTTTAAATCTGCTGCACATCTTGTATTCATTTATATTCATTCGTATGCATTTATATTATAGAGAGACATCGACATATTAGATTCTCTTTATTAGTTTTCATAATACATATGCGCGAAATCAAATATATTGGCGTTTTTCGTATAGCACGCGCGATTTTTTGAGATTGCGTCCTCGCGAACGACACTCGTGCTCGTCTATTGTAAGCCAGAGGCTCTTCTGAAATGCGCAGATGTTGTGAAGGGACCCTCGTCGGCGAATCCTGCGATCTCCTGGGGTATTATCGCGTACTCTTCCACGCTGGTGCACGGTCTGCACATGCAATCCAGCGGCGCCTTGGTGACCATCTAGTGGACAGGCAGAGGTAAAGTTACATGCAAGAATTAATACAAAATTTAATATTGCTAATGAGCATCTTATGAATCTACAAGAAAAAAATATCAACCAGGATCCAACTTGATTTTTCGAATCTTAATTTTCGGAATAATTCCGATATCCCGGAAAATAGATACTTAACGTCTTTTATTTTCCGGAAAGTTTATCATTAAATAAAAAGAGGTAATAATCGATCTTATTTTATCGAGAAGTTTTTAAATAGTTTAAGTGACGTGCTACCCATATAAGCCTAAAGTCTTTATAGCCATTTATATAAAATTAAAAGAAATTTATATTTATATTTAGATATAAAAATATCGAAACGATAGGAATATTTAATTTCATATATAATTTAATTTATTATTATAAATGTAAATTAAATTATGCAATTATACATATATATATATATATAATTGTATTATTAATAAAATATACTAACATTAATATTATATTAATATAATTATTAATAAAATTAGTATTAATGAAAATTATATAATGAATTAATTAATATTCATTGTCTGTCCTTTTCACGAAAGAATCGAAGAATAGGTAATCTCGAAATGAATTTTTCAAAATTCCTTAGAAACAATAAAAAGTTTGACTTTTTTCGTTGCTATCCTAGAGAATTTCGAAATACTCATTTCGATTGCCCAACCTTCTGCAAAAAGGACAACCGACTGAAAATCTAAACGACGGTAGTTAGGAATTCCCTAGGAACCGCGGGAAAGAATAGGAAACCTCGGTCGGCTGCGCACGAAAACAATATGGCCGCGCGAAACTCGTGGTGTCAAACGGCTTTGCTGCGAATCCCATCGGCGTGTGATCGGTGAGAGAGCGAGGGAACGGCACTCGACTGCGTCCACGTTCACGCGATCCTGTTTACAACCCGGCTGACGTTCGCGCCGCCGCCGGTCGAGCCGTGTCCGAGGGCGGCCGCGCGATCCGCGGGTGGTCTCACCTTCCTGAATTTCTTCTCCCCTGGTTTCGCCCGTGGACAGAACAAGGACACACTAGCCTCTCTCTCGCCGCTTTCCTGACAGCACATGCAGCTCCTCTCCATTTGCCACATTTTGGACCCGGACACCTGTGTGTATCAAGCCGCACGTTTATCGTACGCGTTTTCTCTCTTTCTCTCATTTGTATTACGAAGGACAGCGAGAGAGATAAAAAGGAGATAATGGACTATGTCAAACGTCAGTCATAATAATCGCAAGTGTTTCGCAGTATCAGATTAGGCCACGACTCAACTCATATATTTTTAGTGTTTTTGTTTTATGTGCATATACACTTTGTACAGAACGCACGAGACTCCTGTTTGTAGTGTTAAAATTTAGAGAATGTGTCTTTGTATAGTTTTGCAAATGTTTATGCAGGATATTATATCTCAGAGTATCTCGTGAATTTTTGTTATTAAATATGATACCACGTTCATTATTTTTAAACGATTTTCAAGCGTCCATGGATCTTTTGCTCGTGCATCGTATCGTTACTCACAGAACATTGGGTGCTTTTTATTTTAGTAACACAAGTTTATACAAGTATTGGTCTATTATTCATGGATTGCCAAGAAAGATGGAATGTTGATTAACTTTAATCTTAGTTCTACTTACTTTTTTTAATCTTTTCCTAATTCTTAAAACTGGAAAGAGACGAAGTTGAATCGAGATTAAAGTTAATTTGCATTGGTAGAAATAGACATACAGCTTGCATATATACAATAAAAAAGATCTATAATATATGTAACGTGAACTGTAGATTGTCTATTTAAATATAATGTTAATAGTGTATGTGTTGGAGTACGGATCTTTGCATAAAGCATAAGAAAATCAACTGATCAGAATCCTTGAAGAGGAAAGATTCTGATTGTTCAATTCTTTATGAGTTATGTTAAGATTTGTGCTCCAGTCTTATCTCAGAATACAGCCCAAATAAAAGACACCCTGTGAGCTCTATAATGTACTAGAGTGTGCCTTTTCTACACTAAAGAACACTATAAAACTGATTCGACTCAAAAAAGGAACGCAAACAAATATTTATCTTTCTCCTATTTATAGCAGTAGTCAATCAGCGAGTCCCTGACAAAGAAAACAGTACAATCTTTGCATCAGAATGTCTAAGAATTAAAACACCAATGACTTGCTCCAATATATTATAGAGTTCACTGACCCCATATTTTGTGTATGCTTTGAGAGATTCATTAATGTATCTTGAGCCAAGATTCATAATCTGTTCTTATCTAAGATTGACTTAAATAATGTATTAAGATGCTAATACAGTTCTGATAGCTTATAACATCTCTAACTATAGACTTTTATAAGTTAAAAACATCATATTTGATTAAGGCAATTTTTCGATGCTTGATAATATTTCTTGCGAATTTATAAGATTTCCAATTCAAGCAAACTGTATGCCGATTATTTGTCGGTTTTAACATGTAGTCCTAAACTGCAATAGTATTACAAATTAAATTGACAAGTAATTTAATGTTATTGATGCTAACAAGCATCTTCAAAATCTTGTAAATAATTTATTGCGAAAAATATTGTCTCTCTAATTATACATAGGCCAGTATTTAAAGCATCTTAAGACATTACTTAAACGGGCTTAAAATAAGAACTACCGACTATGAATACTAGTCTTGATGTTTTTTACCTGCAGATAACTACTGCATCGTCCTCTACACGCATAACTGGGAATCGGCTTCGGAACACAGCCTGGATATTGAAGGAAGTGTATCACACGCGTTGCCTGACACTCATCGACTCCAACAATTGCTTCTGTAGCTCCGTATAACAAGCATATCAGCAATCCATTGATCACTGTGTATAGTAAGTACAAAAATACTGTATTATTATAACATCTATTTTATTTGCAATTTACAAGAAATACAACAACTGAGAAAATTAATTTTATTTTGCAAATATACTGTTAGCTTATTTACCAAAGTAACGAAAGAGCTTGCTTCTCGAACGGTACATTGCCTTCTCTTCCTGGCACCTTACTGTGCTTATAGGTCCTATGTCGCAAGCTTTTATACACCATAGGTGGTCATATTTTTCCCTTTCTTCTACTACATTTTAGCAGTGTTATATATTAGAAAATCTACGTATATATAAATGTATAAAGAACGTACATGAGAAAATGCTTTCTACATGTTCGCTAAATTTATATGTACAATACTTGAACCAGAGCTTGTTAATTAAATTTTATTCCATAATTTCATTTAAAAATTATTATATGTAATATTCTTATGTGATAAAAATAATTATATTCACTCATGACTAAATATTTGCACAATTTTGTGCACATAATTTAAAAATTATGTAAATTTTTAGTAGCAAAGATAAGAATCGATTTATAAATAATGGAGAAGGTTAAGTATTATTATGTAAAATATTTTCATGTATATAGTTTGAAGAATATTTAAATAAGAATATTTAAAAAAGAATAATTAAATCAGTATCTTAATTCTCTTAAATGCATTTCTATTTAATTTTGTTGCAACAGTATTTTTATTTTGAACTAAGTTTTCTGAAGATATTTAAAATTAAAAATTAAAAGCTTTATGAGATTAAATTTGTGAGATTAAAATAAAGTATTTATAATATTTTATTGCTTTATAAGCAATAATATATAATAACAGAATAAACTATGAATATACTGTAGAAAATATTTATTATAGCACTTACACATACATGTGTATAATTTAATAAAAATGCCGCAATAAGACAGACTTTGAAAAAGTTAAGCCATTTAATTTTGCCTATATTATTGAAAATCTTATTAATTTTGACTTTTGAACCCTATGATCAACTGATTTGACTTATGTTATTTTGTCTTGATGGAGTTAAGTTCCTTAAGCATCTATTATTGAAAATAGAATTTAAAAAAATTGAACCGCTTCTAAGAAATGTTGCGGACGGACAATCGGACAGACGAACAAACCAATGGATGGACTAGATCTATATTGTGAAATTATATTATAAAGTAATTTGTTCCGCTGCACTATTTAATAAAGCTTTTTCTTACATTTTTACATAGTAAATATTTTAAGTGAGTTTAATAAATATTTTAAAGTGAAATATCTTGTATCGAAAACTGAAACAATTTTTTTCTCCCTAATTTTCTAAATTTTTCTTTTAACGCGTTAACTACTAAAGGTGCTTTTTTATGCTGACGCTCGACGCTCATTTTTGGCGTCAAAATAAATCACGTGATAGAAATTAACGAATATCAAGCGTCAACGTGACTTATTTTGACGCTGAAAATGAACGTTGAACATCAGCATGAAAAAGTACCTTAAGAATCGAAAACTCAAAAAGTTTAATCGTTCAAAAAATGCCAATTTATACTATTTATGACATGCACTAGCGTTTTTATTAAAGGAAAATTGTTATTTTTGGTTTCAATATTCATATATTATAGCCCGTATTCAGAACATGCTTTTATTGATAAATGCGCGCTTTTATTTCTGAAATCCCAATAATACGTATAACGTGAACTATATGCTAAATGCGGTCCAACATTATAAACGAATACAGGCCTACATGTAACAAATACTCTGTACATATAGCAGGTACGTAAATAAAGAGAGAATTGTAAAACAAGTATATTAAATTTTTATTTAAATGATATATTTATCATAAAGTATGCAACGATATACAGGATTAAATTATATACATGTATGTATAAATGTATTTAAAGAAAATTAACTTTGGAATTTTGTATTTATCATCACATGTAAAAATGTGCATGTACATATATTTAGAAGAGCTACTGTATAATTGGGGCTACAAATAGATTCACACCACATAAATGCATCGGAAATACTATTTATTTTTACCGTCATTACAATATAATAATTTCTTTTCTATCTATTGATATAACTGTCACATATAATTGTTGCAATTTCACTGCTGAGAGAATGTATAATTTATATTTCAAGTTGTTGCTGTCTTATCTTGCAAAGTCGCCGCACTTTATACATTTACATTCGGCGGGTTCCCGTATCTTGATTTCCATTGCCTCGTCATCTGTGCCTATCAATTTGATCCCATCCGCGTCGTAGCAATGATTTAAGATGACAAATCTTTCCTTTAGATAACTCTCACGGCAACAGTAGCACTCCTGTATGTGTTATAAAAAAAAGATAATTAAAGGCAATATATTTCTTATACGTCTTCCCTTGCGCGAGATGCCACACGATACCTTTGAGAAGCCCGTAGTAGTGACGACGCTTGGCTGTACTTGCGAGTTACAGAATCCTTCGCATTTCGTGACCGATACATCACCGCTGCATGTTCTTCTCAGACGTGCTAATTCATCATATTCGTCTTTAGTGATGCGTATTTCCGATTGTAGAGTCTCGCAACTTTCGTCATCTACCTCAGTTATTTCAGCATCGCTAATTGTAACGTAAACCACGAGAACTAGCAGAGACTTTGGAGCTACCAACATTATAATATTGTTTTTATTGATATATTTAACAAACAAACAAACACCATAGAAGTTTCCAGGTAAAATGAAAGGAGAGAGAATCAAACAGACGCTTTTATAGGTAATTTTTCACCCCTCTTCCTCGTCGTCTATAAAAGCCAAAGGTCGTAATGATCCCCTGCTGCTTTAATAGCGTAGTTCAATCGAAAAAGGGTGAGGAAGTAAAGACTCTCCTGTTCGTAGTAGTTGTTCAGTACTTGATTTTTTTCTCGTCCGGAATATTGCTTTTTCAATGTTTTGCATTATATCCGCTAATGGGTTTTTTATGTCTCGTGTATCACATAATGGAATTGACTATATATTTAAGTAATGCAATTTTACCTAGGATTCTTTCGTTTGTGTGTTTATCATGTTTTGAGGTACACGCTCGACAAGATTGGAGAATGTTTTTAGTGATGTCCAAAATTTATTGATATCATTTTTCTAATATAATATAAATATAATATTATTTAAATCATTATAAAAATAATATTTTATTTAACGTACTCAATGATCGTTTCTTGTACTTCCCGGACAACTATCTTTTAAATCGTCTTCGTCGTTGAATTTCGTTCCGCACCAGATACAGTAGAAGTATTTTTTTCTTAAATATTTAGTAAGAATATCAAGTTTTTCTAAATTACTGAGAATTTCGTCATCCTCGATATCGTCATCAGTGTCATCATCTTCTTTCTCTTCTTTATTCTCTACCCAAAACCACGACTCTTCGGGTTTTTCGACGTTTTCTTTAGTGTCCAATTCTTGACACACCTTTTGACTTTTGTACAAATCGATTTTCTGAAGCTGTTCCGCCTTTTCTTGGGCTAACCTGTTACGGAAATCTCTGGTATCCATATTATTTAATTTTGCATTTGTATTCTTAGATTTATGTGTATCTTTCTTTAACGTTTTGCCTAGACCTTTTCTATCCGCCTTCACTTCCACAGAAATTGGTTCAGTCATTCCTGATTGAGTCTTACCTATTCCTTGACCAGGTTTGTACCCCATTTTCATCAACATTTCAAAACCTAAAAATAAAATAATTAATTATTTACCATTTGAAGACTCTATGACAGAGTCTGCCCACAAGTAATTTTGTTAAAACCCTATGAGAGAGAAAGATACATATTTTATTCCCTGCATATGTATATACTATTTCACTTTACATATGCTTGTCTCATTTTATTCTATTAAATTACTTAACTTTAATTAAGATTATAGTGAAACAGTATACTCTCATATTTAGTTTCACTCTGTATTCTTAATTAAAGTATAAGTTAAAGTGAAAATAGTCTGTATATATACAGAGAAGTAATAAAATGATTATAAAGGACATATAAGAGTCGATTTAATAATACTGAGTGTAAACAAATTATTAAATTAATACACTCGGTATTATAAATTAATAATTTTAATTTTTTTTACATTCAGTATTGCTAAATCGACTCTTATATGCCATTTATAATCATTTTATTGTTTTTAAAATTAACCTATATTGTTTTATATGATTTATACAGAGAAGTATACATACTATATTTCTCATAGGATTTTGACAAAATTGCTTGCGACCGGACTCTTTTACAATCTCTATACCAAATTAGCATTTTTTTACATTCTTATCACATTGCGAATTTATTTGTTTGATTATGTATTTTTCATTTGGTGAAAATTATAAAAATGAATAAATTTACTAAAGTATTTATAACTTCAGTGATTAATTTTTAATAAATTTGTTTACTTTCGTAATTTTTATCAAGTCATGTGATACACAATCAATTCCTACATATAATATGTACAAAATGTAGACCTTTATTTGCACTAGTAATAGCAGATGACAAGCCTTCCTCCCTTTTTTCTGCTTCGACTACATGTATTGACTTGTTTCTAGATTGAATTTCAGCCTTTTTCTTCATTAATGCAAATTCTCTTTTATCAGAACGTCTGTATATAAGACTCGACGAGACATTTCGTTCGGTATCTTGTAGAAATTTATCAGACATATAATCTTCATCGTCTGACATCGTTCGGAGCAAAATTGATTATTTATAGGAAAATATTACGCGAAACACTGGAAACAGAATAATAGATTTTGTCACAAGATGTATGCAGTGATGGCGATTATTACCTTAATCACAAATGTAACACCTCAGAAATTCTCTTGCGATGACGTCAACGATCCAAGCTTTCGAATATTTATATTCGCTTGTAAAAATACTCTTTTTCTACGAGACGCAACGTTCAAAGCGCTCTTTTTTTTTAGGTTATGCTTGAACTTGAAAGGTTATATTCTCTATGTTGGAAAAGTCGATTCCTGTAAATTTTCAGGATGTTTTCTTTCCGACGAAAAACTCGAGTTTAATAATTTAAATTGAAATAAATTGTACAATTAAAAATCGTTCTATTTATTATACAACTTTTTTATAATTAACATATAAGGCATTTTTTTTTAATTCTGAGGATTATTTTTGTTTTGCTTATATTATATATACATTAATATATACGAAATCATTTTATAACAAAAAATATATAATTTACAATAATTTATTTTTATTTGCAAATTATTGTCACAAATTCGCAGCGACGTTTTTTCGCACATCATAACGAACATCACAGATGTTGTTATATAAGCTTCCATATGAAATGATATGAAAGGTGTTACGTAGCTTATAATTATGATGCAAAAAGAGGGGATCAATGTATCTTGTGTATCTTGAAACGAGATGCAAATTACAAAAGTGAATGAATTCATCGTGTGTTGACCAATGAAATTATAAATATTCTATTCTATAATGTGCTTTTTGTTTTCTGTTTCTTGCCTTTTGCTATTTTTTACATCTTTGCTTCTTATCCAGTTTTTTGTTTTATGTCGCCCGAGATAAAGTTAACGAACTTCGAAAGAAACAAGAAATTTATAAGTAGCAAGAAATACAATTGTCAATAAAACGGTTACAAAGGGGAAAAAAGCAAGAGGTAAAAAGCAGAAACAGGAAACAAAGAGCATAATGTAGAATAGGCTTAATGAATTTGCTCACTTTTGTAATTTTTCACTTCATTTCAAATTTTAAAATAATCTACCCCCAAATGTAACATTATATATATTAGAGGCCTGTTCTTTTTGGCTGAACTTTTGCACCAATTCATCTTTTTTCCTCTTCTTTCCTCCTAAAGAGAAAAGGAAGAAAGCTGAACTGGCGCAAAAGTTCAGTCAAAAAGAACAGGCCTTAGGTCTGTTCACATTACTTGCACTTTTTGCATTCATCATTTTTCACTTAGCATTCTCTTTTCAACGCCTAAATATATATTTATCTCACTTTACATGCAAAAATTTTGGAGATCACAAGAAACACGAATAGACTTATAATGACAGCTGAATACAAATTTAAGGAGGTTCTTGCATTTGATGAAACATAAGACAAGCCTATAATATACATGTAATACAAAAGTTAATAATATCAATAATATCTAGAAAAAATTTCATTGATCTTTACCGTACCATTTTGATGATATTTAATTATAAATTTATAGAATTTTACATTACAAATTGATGATGTAACCTTATTCTGTAGTTATTCTGTTTTAAATTGAAACACTTGCGTATGAGACAGCAATTTAAAAATAGTTATAATTATGAAGTAAACACTTATGGCTGTTCTATAACACAATGTGCTTTTTGTTTCCTGTTTCTTGCTGTTTGTCTCTGTCTCTTGTCTTTTTGATCAAGAAGGCAAGAGACAAACAGCAAGACTTAGGAAACAAAAAGCACATTGTAGAACAGCCATTAAGTTTGTTCTCATAAAGTTTCATTTAAACTGACCGTACAGTTTCCAAGAAATTCATATTCTTCAATGAAAAAAGCTAGAATATACGTCAAATGAACGATGCACATCAAACGAGCATCTTACAACTTTATATTTTGTCATTTTGAAAATATTTAGTAACATAAAATTAACAATAATTATGTATATAATATCATAGGATATTGTTAGTAACCTTTTTATTCCATTATTTTAATTGTTTCACATATTATTATGAATAAACTGTCTATTGACTAGGAAGTAGCGCGAGAACCTCCTTGAAGCAAATTTCTGATTAGTGGTCTAATAAAAGCGTCTTTATAAAATTCAAGGCGAATTTCTGATCGATCACAAACGTCGTCATCACTTTGAACGACTGTTCTAATAATTGGATAATTCGGTTCTCCGGATCTTGGCGATCAGCGGTGCATATGGCTGGCGCCAGGTAGGTAAAGTAGATATTCCGCCCCGCTCGCCCTTTCCCTCTCACGTGGCTCGCGTGTGTGTGGGGGAAGACCGAAGAGTGGAACGCGGAACTGGAACGGGGGGGGACTGTCTGTCGGACACGGGACGGGGAACGGCGAACCATTGTATTTTCACAGAGTCCGTACGTCGTCCGTGCTTGATATTTTCCGTTTGGAAGGTAGCGAGTCCGGGGTGTAGTGCCGCGACTGATTCGACCCCGGTCGTCACGCCCGCGGCAACGTCGCCGACGCCGCGTGTCCCGGGCCGCGTGTCTCGCGACCGACGGGCCAGGCTGGCGTGAACGGAGCCGCCACGGGTCGAGAGAGCGTAACCCACGTTCACGCCTGCGAGAAGAGGACGACGTCGCGACGGTGGGACCGTGCGTGTTTTCGCTGACCCTATTTTCATCCTGGAGGCTCGCCGGACGCGACGTCGACTCGGAGGTCGGTCACGACGTTCGCAGAACGGCTGGTTCTGGAAACCGTAGCACCGCGTTCGAGCCATTCGTTGATCGAAGGAGGAAGAGGAGAGGGAGAGAGAGGGAGAGAAGAGATAGGAAGAGAGAGGGAGTGTGAGAATTTCTCGACGAAAATAAGGGAGGTGCTGCGGGAGAGCGACGGGCGGTGAAGTGATATTTCATTGAGGAAGAAAAACATGCCGGATACGGTGTCGTCATGCCTCGTCGTGTCGGCCGATAGATCCCGAGAGGTCACGTCGGGATCCTCGTGACCGAGCTCCGAGGAACGTGCTCGCGTATTCGATACGCGTTTGACGTGAAGCGAAAACGGAAGATCTCGCTATACGTCAGATCAAGCTCCGTCGTGCGGTGTCGGTCACGGTACATCTCGAGGTTGATCATTTTTCGATAATTCCCACCGACGGGATTGCAACGGCTCGATTTACGGTACGTGAAAGGGACTCTTCCTCGAATTCGCTCGGATCTACCATCCATCTCGGCTATGGTTGTAGCTAGCAGCGGTGGTTGGGTACAAAATGCCAGTTCGCCCGCTGGGCAGAACAACTCCAACGTGAGTCAGAACAATAACACTACGAACAACAATCATAACAATAACATCTACCGTAGAAATATAATAAAGAATTCAAACGTAAAGATGACCGCGAAAGGCGTGCTGATCTGCCGGGACAATTCCCATCCCTTCCTGGAGCGCACGCTGACGTTGGAACAGCCGATGAAGATCGGCCGTTCGGTGGCCAGGGCGAGAGCTGCGACGAACAACGCGATCTTTGATTGCAAAGTGTTGTCCAGGAATCACGCCCTACTCTGGTACTCCTCCGGTAAGTTTTACCTGCAGGACACGTGCAGCAGCAACGGTACTTTTGTGAATAACCAGAGACTCAGTGCTTCGGGGCTGGAGTCAACGCCCAAGGAGGTGTGCTCCGGGGACATAGTGCAATTTGGCGTGGACGTTGTGGAGAATACAAAGAAGGTCACCCACGGGTGTATAGTCGCGACCTTGAAGCTGTATCTGCCGGACGGAAAGGAGGCTAAAGCCAGTCTCAGCACTTCTGTCAGCTCACCCGCTGGGAACGTATCTCTGGAGGATCTTTACAAGCTCAATCAGATAATGCAGGAGGCATCGAGACGGGAGAAAGCCTTGTATTCTAAACTGGGCTACTTGCAACAGCTGGTGGAGAATACCCGGAAAGCCGCCAATCAATCGTGGAAGGCATTGATCACGGAGGATCGTCTATTGTCGTGGGTGATGACCGTGGAGAATCAACTGACAGTGTATTCTAAGAATTATACCGAGGATAAGATTAGAAATGAACTTGCGAAGCTTCAGGATGAAAAGGGGCATTATCAGAATGCTGCCAAGGAGGCGTTGCAGAAGGTCTTGCAGGAGAAACTGGAGGTCACTCAGAGATTGGTACAGTTGGAAGGACGTTTGAACGAAACGGAGGAGGAGTGTCAGAGTTTGCATAACGTAGCCAAGTACACTCAAACGGAGCTTCAGGAGCTCAGCGCGAAATACGCGGAGGCGCAGAAGAAGCTTCAGGAGACCACCAACAAGCTCATGGAGAGCGAGGAGAAGGTGAAGGATATGCTGCTCAGTGCGGAGCAAGAGAAACGGGATCTCTCGAAACGGCTCGAGGATCAGTCGAAAATCGAGAAGAATCTGCGGGCGAGGTTGCACGATTCGCGATTAGATTCCGTCAATATCTATAAGCAAATCACTGCTTTAAGGAATTACGCGCAGACTCTGCAAGATATGAATCTGAAGCTCGAGGTCGGTGAGAATTTTGACTCGAAAGGCGAGGATCCCATAGAAGCCATAAACGCTATCCTTAACAAATTGAATTCCATTCATGTCGACAATATGGATGTGGACAGTGAGATTAATTTTTACTTCAACAAGAGCGAGCAAGATAATCAGTTTAATTCGTCAGATGTCGATCCGAAGCTGAAGTCCGATTTATCGTTTACCAAAGACCAGATGGACGATCTGCAGACAGCCGACGATAGTCTCACGGAATATATTCTGCCACCGTCGTTATCCAGGCGAACTTTAGTCAATGGAAATCTGAGCAATTTGGACAACGGCGATACTAACGGAGACTCCGACACAAACTCGGAAGCGACCGATGACGCGAGCAGTGTTACAAATGATGATATAAGTGAAAAGAGCGTTATAGAGAATAAGAAGGAAGAGCTGGACACCCTGGGACAAGAGTCCATGCAAACATTTGTGCCCTGCAAGATGGAGGTGCGATTCGCAAACACTGAAAACGGTCAACAATCGGAAGTACATCACGAGCCAATAAAACAAATCGCCAAAGACGATGAAGTGGAAATTTCGATGAGAGATTCAGATGTCTCTATAGACACCGAGGATACGTTAGACAGTTCTATCGTTGACCCTGTGTTAGATAAGGTCGACGAAAATGATCAGCAACAGGACAATGATATCGTGCCGGAGTGTGAAGAGCGCACGGAAGGAGATTACGTTAAGACTTTAAAACCCATCACGAAGAACGACACCATACAGCAAGCCTTCCATTCCAGGGACTACATCCTGCAGACGTTGATCGGTTCTCTGGATTCGTTAAGAGGCGAGGACAGTCTGGAAGCGCGGCAGATAGTGCAACGAGAGCTGGAGGAGTTGAAGGACTGGCTGATTCGCGAGCCGAACGAGATTGTCATCGATAGGCTAAAGGAGCTGTATTACCGCGCGAAGAACGAGGCGCAACGGATGCAGGAAGTCAACGAGGAACTGGTTATAGTGAAAGAAAAGTACAACGCGTTCGTCGAGGAGAAAGCGGAGCTTTCGAAGAAATACATGTCCCTCAAATCGCAGTGTGGTGATCTGCTTAGTACGACTTATACCGTGCCAATACACTACGTGGCACCTATCGTGATCATGCTGGTGTGGATGCTGTTAGAGAAAATATTCTAATCACGTCTCTCTCTCCCTGCCATCAAACATTCTTTTCTGTACATATAACACGCGCTACGACAAATATTTTAGTCTTTCCACTTCTCTTCATTCTTTTACAATATCGACTGTAATTGACTGTAAATTATGTTAAGCTTACCCGTTTCGTCGTTTGGAAACGACCATATCGAACACAATTTAATGTTTTTTATACAAACAATCGTTAAGAATTGTGTGTACATATATATATATATATATTTGTTTAATTTCCCGAATCGAGTCTCGGGGTTAAAGATAAGGAGTTCCTCGTTATAAAGTGCGATGTTAAGCATAGAATGTGTCGCGTTAATACGCCTTACAAAAGGGAGAAGCAAGATCAAAGACGAGGAAAAAATTGTTCATTGAATGTATATGTATGTATATCTCGAACACGAAAGCTCGACTTACGCTCTCTGGGGAGTAAAAGTAACTGGAGAAAATATAGGTACGATACCACGTAAAATGTTCAACATGCTGCCAAGCTGCTGAGTATCATATCTCATAATATGGCTCAATTTTATAATATATCACATACTTTTTTCCGTTGCATGTTAATTTGTTTAAAAATGATATGTTTTTTCCATAGCGTATTTTAAAGATTAAAATATGTAGCCTTTATTAGAATTTTTTCGAGAGAATACTCTTTTTTTTCATATCGCGTCTTAAAATAAAAAACAACACACACGCACACGTATTCTCGTTTTCAATTGTTCCATACTTTCTTCGTACATACATTTGTATATAAATAATTGTAGAAAGCGAATTTGCGCGCGAAATGATACATTACTCATTGTACTCATCTCATTCGAATCAAGTGTAACACGCTTCTTCTTTAAGTTTTTGTTGAGGGCGACTCGAAAAGTTGAAAGCGACCTTTGCAGGGGAGCGAGCGAGCGAGAGAGAGAGAGAGAGAGAGAGAGAGAGAGAGAGAGAGAGAGAGAGAGAGAATTGATCGTCGCGTTTACGTATACATTAGCATGCGTATATTATATATATTGCGTTAATCTCGCGTCTTTTTTCTGATCATAAATCCATCATTGTCAAGCGAAAATTTGAACTTAGTCTTGCGGCGAATCTTGGGCCCTCCAACTTTGTTGCACAATAATACTTTAATTTTCCTTCTTTCGTACGTATAAATGTATAAACGTATAAATTGGGTAGCATGACAATAGACTCACAAGAGCATATCTGTTCGAGCGACCTAAATGAACTAATAAGCGGATACGTATGTATTTACTTCTCGAAAGTGAATTTCTCAGCACTTAGTAACCGTTCTATCGATCCTACCTTGGAATGGCCTTGATATCGTCTAAATAACGTCTTAAAGCGAGAAGAGATCCAATATAATCGTAGTTTTCTATATTAATTCTTTTGATACGAAACATAATGGGAAATTGACAGTATTTTCTTAATTCGTTAGTTTAGTTTAGAGAGTGCCATGTCTACTATACCGCATTAGATAACGGATCATTGTGTGTCGCGGCGAACTAGAGTGTACGTGACATTTTCCAAAAAAGTTAACGCCGCAAGCCGGACGCTCGCTCGTTTAAGCGAGCTCACTTTCTTGGCAGATCAAGCGTATATATCAAATTATCAAAGTACATATGATAAATAAAAAAAATGCTGTACATAATAATGTTGATATAATCTTACTACCGATGTAATAGTCATTATACGAAAAGGGGAAATAAAAACTAACTTAATTAATTAGAGGATTGTGGCAAGCTTCTTGTACTCTCAACACCCATTCCACATCCATCTTTCAGTCTATAGAAGTTAAAAAGTAAAATATATGAGATTTGAAATGTAAATCAATGGCTTATCACAAGTACGTCGTATTTAGCGTGATACAAGTTTCCTTCCTGGAAGCTAATAATATCGTTATACGCCTTTAATCCATCATCTCTTTTTTTTTTATTCAGGGACGCTCATATTAGCTACGCTTAGCCAGTTCGTCGATCGACCAAGGGTACAACGATAATCTCGCCGACGTGCGATCGCTATGTGCCACCGATGAAAAAATTGAAGGTAAAGTTGGAAAGCAGCGAATCATCAGGGACATTAACGGGGCATCAACAGGCGGTCGGGATGGCGGGCGGATTGAACGCGAATGCGACTGATAGCACCGATTCCGCTAGTCGGATTTGTCGAGATTTTCTGAGAAATGTCTGTCACCGCGGAAAGCGTTGCAAATACCTTCACGAGCGTTCCGATGACGATCCCGTGGAGGAATATACCTTCTGCCACGACTTCCAGAATGGCAAGTGTAGCTGGCCAGGCTGCAAATTCCTACATTGCACAGAGAGCGAGGAGAAGCGTTTCAGGGCAACCGGTGAATTGCCGCCTCACGTCCTCAATCGATCCAAGATCTGCAACAACGACAAGTCGGATCCGTTTTGCAAGGATTTTCTAAAGGGCAGCTGCCAAAGGGTGAATTGCAAGTTCAGACATATGAAGAAAGAGGAACCGCAGCATAATCTAATGTCGCCGTCGATTCATAACGCGTCCAGGCCGCAACACAACTTCAACGGCACTAGCAACGGTGGTGGTGTCGGTGGCGATGGACGCAGATACGAAGAGGACAGAAAGTAAGCACCGTAATCGAGTCTATAGAAATTTTCCTCTTATGTAGAAACTTATAATACATCGTAATAATTTTGTCTCTTTTCTCTTTGTTTCATGAATGGCAGCTTTCACTGGCAACTGCAGGATCATCATAACAATTTGGTCGCTAACAACGGCGGTTACAACACATCGCATACAGCCGATTATATCGGACCGCCGGAGCCGAAGAGGCGATTAGTATCGGGTGAAGCGGTCGTACACTTCGAAGCCTCTCCAATCGTAGGTCAGCAGCATGCGACTCAACCGACGGTCACGCCAAGTTATTATTATCCCGTGATACCGCGTAACGAAGCACGAGCCATTGTACTGGAGGATGAGAATGCACTGTTGAGAAAGAAGATAGAAGAGTTAAAGAAGCAGGTATGTCAGAGAAAGAAAGAAGAAAGAAAAATACAAATAAACATCTGAAATATCGATTTTGCTTCTAACTGTGTATGCGCTTTATCTTGCTCCAGGTTAGCGACTTAACGGCGACGAACGAGTTTCTGTTGGACCAAAATGCTCAGTTGAGGATGTCGGGCAAGCGAACCGCGAACGTAACGGCTGTAACGGTCCCAGCAGTCACGATTACGAATACGGTTCCGCCGTCGCAAGCTCCGACACCCCAACAAATGGTCAATGCAGCCGTGGCAGCGGGTACCCTTCGAACAGTCACCGCCAGCGTGGCTACCGTTCCTGTGAGCATCGCGACCGTAGCACCCGTCTCTATCGCGGCGGTTTCTATGGCACCAGTTTCGATACCACCACCGATCGTCACCATGGCTCAACAAACTATCTCGATGAGCGCCTCTGGGCCTCCTCAGGCAACTAATCAACAACCACCGAACACGCAGCAACCCGCCAGTTTACCTTTGTCGATATCTGGCGCGACCGCACCTCTCGTCTCTTACCCTATTATGACGCAAGAACTTAGGCCTGTCTTGCAATAAATGCGTCATGAGAATAGGAAAAACTTTTATTTCTGATAGAGGATATCCATGTACACATATACGATATACTGCCTACTCGGCTATGTAGGCGAATCAAGGATCATAATGTGCATCCATCTTCCTCTATATGAAATTGTACTTCCCTTACAAGTACACTTGAAAGTACACACAGAAGATAGAAACCAGCGGCTGTGGGATGATGCGGTGTATCACCGTAATAAATAGATACATTTGTATTGATGTAATATTCATCATCTCCAAATTTTTTTACATTCTATTCATTTGTGCAAAGATTGAATCATAAAGAAAACAATTGTTTAATTTAAAATCATTATTTGATTATAATATCATTTTTCTTTTATCTCTTCGTGTTCGAGAGAATATGTAAAATAGAATTATTTTCTCTCTGTGAATAGCGCGATAAGAATATACGATAATATACAACTATGCAATAACAATCGTCGATAATATTGACAGCTATATACGTTCAAAGTGTGTATAATTGTAGAATAACAGGAATGACAATCTATAATTACGAGATATAATTACGTCATGACATTATGTTCTTTTAACTTTTTTCTTTTATTTGCGTTATATATATCATGCGTAGTATCATATTAATCTCATCTCTGTGTAAAGGTAAATCGGAGAATAGTAACAGGCAGATAAGAGCACCGACGAAAAAATTGTAAAATGAAGGAATATAATTAAGGGATATCTCTTAAATAATACGTTAACGTAAGTACAAAGAAGCTTAGAAGAAAGAATATAAAAGTAGTATATTTAAAAAAAAGATATCTAATATAGAAAAGGTTCGTGCTTTATTGATCCAGATCTGCAGAATCTTCCTATTCCGTATGGGATATTGTATATAACATATTTCATTGCCTCTCTTTATTTACCGAGAGTAATTTTGTACTTTAGTTAAGAAAATTGGTTTTATATATATATATATTCCCATTAAATAATATTTTAATTAAGTACTTATGAAATTCTTTGTCAGTTTCTATAATTTACTTAAACAAGCAGCTTTTTATTAGAATGATTAAGTAATTTTAAATTTATATTTATATCAATATGAATGTATAAATTACACATGATATTACAGGAAATTACAGTGTGTATAAAAATGCACTGTACACCACAAATGGGTATGCATCTGATTTTAAATCATATTGTTAATCACGACACTTGTATATATTTTGCGATAATTAGCATAAGAAATTGAGCACTATGTACTCGCGTATTTTATATATGCATACAAATGTATAATCTTTTACGTATAAATTTATGTTAAAAAGCACTTTATTAAAAAAGAAGAAAAGACGAACATGATTTTTATCCTCAAATACTTGCGAGCGCGAGACATTTATGTGACTAATAAAGTTGCAAATTTCAGTTTTTCATTATCGATTAAATAAAAAAATTTTTTAAAGATGCCCTCTTAGAGAAAAATTTAACAACAGTAATACATATTACCCGTTTTTTATTTACATTTATCGTTACATAACTGTTTGCATTTAGTTCGATAAATGCATTGTTAATTACACAACTCATTTACAATCGCATTTTTATAGACGATATAAAAGTTGTACCTTGTAGCGCTAATTGTCATCATAACAATTGTACTAGAGCTGTTTGATCGAGTGCTCACTAGGTATCTCTTTTGGCGAATTCGATTGGAAGCACTAATGCGCGTACAGTGATTGTACACAACCTATATGGGAGGATCTACAATTTAAACGCCGATTCCGGCAAATTTTTGGTAGGGAGGTTTCTTAGGCAAGTATACTCGATGGTTTGCCATTGTCTTCCGAGAGGAGCTACGAGTGTATGAAAATTTTTAAAAGGTATATGAGAGGGAGGCGTCTACGTGCTGAGATAGCGTATGGCACTTGAAGAAGAATAAAAGTGAAATGCAAATATTTCGAATTATAAAATACATATTTTACCTAATAGTATAATAAAATGTATTGAATATCTCAAGATTTAATCGATTTCTATGTTTATGTATAAACATATCTTTAAGTTATTTTGTGTACGACGGCTTTAACGTGCACCAGTGCGTACTGAGTGCGTCCAATCGAATTCGCTATTTATTTTGTGTTTCTTTTCTATCATATCAAGTTCTGGTTTATATACTCTACAATATGGATTTTTTATTGCATAAAATATACATACATAACACATCATGCGTTCCGTTCACGTACACATAATTCTTTACATATCCCTTTACCCCATCATTAGCTCTATTATATCACAACTAAAATTTTATTTTATACAAGAGCAATTATTTGTAACAAAATATAATTGCAGCCTGTGTATCATAGTATACTTTCATAGAAATCTTTTTTCTTAAATTTATTACACAACATAATGGCTACATTCAACAGAGAAAGCAGTTTAGCAATTGTAATAAAATTCTGCAACACGATTGGTTTTTATACATTTAGATCCATTGAGAGAGAAACTGAGATCAATCATGTTAAAAAATTTTACAATAGTTGCAAAATTGCTTTCTCTGCTGAATAATTTGTTCAACAAATGTAATTGCAATCCGCATAAATGTATACATTAAGATAGACGACTTAATTTTCGTCTTAATAATTAATTTGTTTTATGAAAATTTCAATTTTGTGTAAGCTGCTGTATAAAAGTTAACAAAAATCACACTTGATTTTATCACGTGACTACGATTTACAGAGAACGTTTGTTTTTGAATTAAATGATTTTGATAGAAAATTTCATGTTGCAGTAGATAGAGATTTCGAACTTCTATTCTTTAACCAATACGCGCCAGCTAACAATACAGTACAACAAAACCCGACCAAAAGACGCAATTTCCAATGATGTTTGGAGGATCGTAATACATTAATTACTTTCACGGTCTGTTCCCTCGTATCTCTTGCACTGCCCGAATTCTCAATTACAAAATTTGCCATCTCTGCTTTTTTTTCCAAGGACATTTGCGCAGCTATTCTTAATTTCGCTTTAGCTTCTGTAAATCCAGTGCGTTCCATTAATCGTTGTAACTGAAGGTCTTCTTCACTGAAAGCCATAAGAGAGTTATAGAAGATCAATTTATAAATACTTAAAAAACCACAAAATTACTTTCATATATTCTCCCAACTTAGAATACAAGATATTATTTTAGCTAAAACACTGATAATACTTTTAAAGGCCGTCAAAATTTTGGACAATTATTTAAAAATAAAACTGGAGTAAATTGGTTAGATTGTATTTGAAATTGGTTGGGATAAAAAGTTAAAAACACTTAGGATGATGTATAACTTTAAAAAAAAACCAACTAATATTGAAAGAAAAAAAAACTTAAAGACGGAGCATAGACCTTTGCATAATGCATAATGCTTAGAGCATAAGAAAATCAATCAATCAGAATTTTTTATTTGATGAAAAAGAAAGAAATTAAAAACTTTGATTAGTTTATTTTTTTATGCATTATGCTTTGTGTTCCTGTTCTTATTCTTAATCGAATTTTTTTTCACTTGAAAGTTAGCCGCCTTTCTTTATTAATTTCAAGTAATTAAATCAGAATGTTATACGAATTTTTGTCACATTCTTTAAGGGGGTATTCTACTTCGACTGCTCGTTTTCAAGACGATTTTTGGGAATTAAATTTGTAAAAATGATTAAATCTATACAGCTAATGTTATGCATTTTACATTTATCTATATTTGTGCACTTTTTACAAATAATAAGCGTACTGATAGCAGAAAAAACAGAAAAGAAGTCGAGAATACAATAACCGTGTTGTCTATTAATACGGAGCTCGTCGTCTTCGGTTTGTCTTAATTTTTTTGCTGATGTACTTGCAAAACTAGTTTCAGTTTCAAAAGTATGTTGATTTCCAACAAATCTTCTTTTTTTCGGCGTCGGCTTACGCGTCTGACCACCTCATTTGCCTTTTCTGTCCATGTTCACTCAAAAATTCGCGTCCGTATCGTTCGAACTTTGAGAACACATTGACTTCTTATTAACGGAAATTTTGAACGAAATTTCAGACACAAGGATCATCCTGAGCTGTATATAGCACCATCTGCATAGAGCAATATTACTTGACACAAACGGTCCGTCCGTCAAAGTAGAATACTGCGCTCAGGTAGCGCGCTGATAGCTGCGCAGAATAACTACTATAACTTCGTTAATATTGAGAATTTTTGTATAAAATTTTACAGAGATATTCTACAGACTGTAAGGATTGAAAAAATGTAAAAAAAATTTTTTTGATTTTTTTGACCCGACAAAGTAGAATACCCCTTTAAGAGTACCTTATTGATGATTGTACTAATTGAAATCTATACATACCATGTTACAACTATAATTTTGTGCAAGTAATTCAACATGTGTCCTGTCTCAAAAAGCAACGGTAGATCCATAACTATGAACGGATGACCTTGTAAAAAGTATTTGATAGTCTGCCAGTATATCTCTTTGTATATATCAGGATGCGTTATAGCATTGAGTTTTTTTCTCTTTTCGACATCATTAAATATTAAATCTCCAAGTTTCGTTCTATCCAAATGTTTGGTATCCAAAAACACATCTGGACCAAATTCCTCTTGTATTTTATGCCATGCTGGTTTTCCTGGCTCAACAACTGAAAACATAAACACCATTTTTTGACATTGCATAACGAATATTTGATGTTGCAAATGATTTATCAGTAAATACTAAATTCTTGGCAAATTTTATCTTACAGCTTATCAATATTTCAATTGTACAAATTACTGCACAGTTAAACTTGACATTTGCTTCCATTATGCAAGTACAATTTACAGTATTAAATGGATTTTATATTGATAAAGAAAAATATAGGTATGTAATGGCATTTAGAATAAAAATATTGTTATATATATATACATTTTATAATATACATTATAAAATTATAAAACATAACATTAAATATGTATATATAAATATATATGTGTAGGTGTCATTCAAAATTTGAGAATATATATATATATATCTGTCGGCGACTGTCGACGACGACAGAGCGGACAGGGTAAAGTACAATACATCCTAACCTTTTCGAGCAATTATATCGGCATCTATAACAGGGATGCCATGCTCCCGAAAAACAGCAGCAACTGTGCTTTTTCCAGTGGCAATGCCACCAGTCAATCCAACTAAATACATTTGAAAAAAATGTAATTTTTACACGATAAATATGAATGAATCAGCTGCTTAACAACTCTGTTAGTGATGTCAGCATTATTCACATCGAATCAAGCTACCCGCACCACTCCTCTACTCTTGCATTACTGAAACATTTATAGATTATTAAATATAAAATTATTTAAATCTATCCTGCTAAAGAGAAAAATATCGGAAGGAAAAAGAATTTAATCTGAAACTTCTCCCATCTCCCACTCTGGAGTTAGCCGCTTTTCTTTTTTATTATATTTTTTTTTAACTCTATCACAACAAAGTACAGAAAAGTGTAGCACGGTTGTCGATGAGAACGCGCTTGAAGTATACGTCAGAACTTGAAGTAGCTTTAAAACTGCGCTTAATAGTACTGGGCGTGTGTTTTAGGTTTGCCTTTTTATCGATCACCACAACTTACAATCACAACAATCGAATTTTTTACTTTATTTTCGTCCCTTCAAATGATATAGCACGATGAAATGCTGGTTATGTATATTCTCTCTCGTAACGTGCCTTGTATGGTATGGTAAGTTTTTACAAATTTCGACAAAGTGAAGTCAAGTATTGTATTGTATGTGCAAGCCATAAACTGAAGCTAACTTACGATATTTAAGTTTAAAAATTTAATATCTCGTCGTGTTATATTTACATTTTGTTTATTCCTAAGTTATACTTTTATATTTTAAGTCAAAGTGAGTCCAAGTAAGTTGGAGTAAATTTGAGAGATTCCATGTATGTTTTGCTGAATTCATTAAAAATTTGAGTAACTATATATATATATATATTTTATACAGAAAAATTTACGTGTACATATATTTATTAATAAATAATAGATTATACAGATAAAACACTATAATTGCATATATTAATGCTAATAAAATATTATCTGTGTGACAGTTGCAGGTCAGAGGGGCTGCCAAATTCCACTGACCCTTAGGGGATCTTGGTTTTCATGGGAATCCAAGAGTACCGTAACAGAAATAAACGCTAACAGTATGACTGAACGAGGCATATGTGTAAGCATGCTGGAAGAATATCATGTTAATTACACATTCGTGTTTCGAGATTTGTATAAAAGCTGTTATCATTGTGTAAAACTGCTTGTCAGGACGCTAAATGTCTTGGAAAAGTTGGAAGGCAAGTAACGAATGGATCTGTTAATTTAAAAAAATTACAGATAAAAAGTACAAAAAGTATTCATGCAAGGAAGATATATTTTAAAAAAACTTTATTTTTAATAAGTAAACTTAATAAGTTAATTAGCAATTTATTAACGAAGAATGAAATAGACTATATATTTGTTAAAATTTTTTTGTCTAAAGAGATATGTATTAAAATATATTATCTTAAAAATGAACGAAAATAAATTGTGTTATTTGATACAAAAATTTTGTACAAAATATATTCATACAATTGAGAAATTTAACTTCTAACATTAGGAATATATCAAATTTTTTTGTTTATATGAGAACAGCATATTTATTATATAAAATTGCTAATTAAAGTTTATTTTCCACAGTAAGGCTTCTTTTATAAAAATTTCCCTCGTACAAATACTTTTTGCACTCACTAATAGTTTATCAGCTCATTACCTAGAAGGGACTTGGTTCACAAATAATGTCTTAACCATATACATCCATCCATACCTTATAAATTAATAGCTAACTACAATTTTCAACTAGCATATCTACATTGTCTTGTACATCTACTTTTTTTTATTACATAATTCATCTACTTAACACAGTCTTTAGCATCTATTGCATTAATATTGTTTATCACATTCATTATCACATTGTTACTCCAGTTCAAAAAATTTTATATAGCAATATATAAATATATAATCCACGAGTATGTTATCAATTATAATATCTTGTTGCAGTGACTTGTGTGAACTTGCCCTTTGGAATAGAACCCACTGTGGGTAACGTCTGTACAGGTTTAAACGCGAATCAATACTTGATAACATTATTCTCTGAGAATTACGTGCCTGTGAATTGCAGATCTTCTCTGGAAGGAGTTTGGCAGTTTGCTTATCAAGTAAGATTATAAAATTATTTATTCCTTTATTGTATAACAAAAATGCTTATCTATATATTATCATTATTATTTCAGAATCGCTTTAGATTTACGGGAGAATGCAATCATCCAGACGCACAAATCAGATCTTGTCAGACAGCGGGATCCCAGTTTCTTATAACCAATCAAAAATTTAACATCACTTACAAGCATTGTCCTGGAATGGAAAATACCAATGACGGGTGTAATTAGACTTTTTTTCCTTTTGATAAATGTTTTAAACTTGTGAAATATGTCTTTATATACATTTTGATATTACAAAATACAAATGCTGTTTTTTTTTCAGTGGTAGAATACAGTTGCTTGGGCGATTGGTTCGTCGATAAGAATCATTTCTTCGCGGTAGCAAATACCAAGGAATCACGGAAGGATGAAAAGTATAGATGCTTCTTAAAGAATCGTGATGACGATTTATATATCGGTGTTTCGATCACCGCTGAATGTAATACTCTCAATACCGTCGAAAAGAGTCCTGAACGTTTGCGCATCACGCCAGTTAAGGCTGAAGTAGTTGAACCCGGTTGTCGATTACCCGAGGATATGTCCGGAGATTGGATAAACACTGCCAATATCGACGCAGATATTTTCATTAACGAAACGCACATTATCGAAACTTGGTATCCTGATGTGGCGCGTTTTCGACGAACGATTTACGTTTGTCGTGAACAAAGAGATTCAAGAGTAATGATGGCGAGATTGACCGTTGATGGATGGTACGTTTACCAGATTGTTTGTAAGAAAAATCTTTTTTATTGGCGTAAAATTCAGCGAGTTTATTAAAATTCTTAATACATATATTATAAAGATACATATTTAGATGTTAATTGAGATACATTTATAGCCAAAAAGACTACGTTTGTTTCGATTTCGTGCGGCGACATCACAATGTTATCCGATACAGACGTGGAGTTGCTGTGATAAAAGATGATTTCCACACGGTGTGTTCTTGGGTGCAATTTCCTAACAAGGAAGCGTGGAAGTACGATCTGTTTTTAGGTATAATCATAATATAAAGTTAATGTTTGACCGATATTCATAGTTGGTTCTTAATTGCAAGATCTTAAGTTAGTCTTAGAATGTCATAAGTCAATTACAAAGCTATATTAGCATTTTAAGACATTATTTAGGAGGATTTTGAAATAAGAACGTGCTATGGCTGGTATTCTTAGTCAGTTCTTATAGTATACATAAAATCTTAAGTACAGTTTTGACTACAATCTTAAAATGTCAATCACAGAGCTATATTAGTATCTTAAGACATTATTTAAAATGATTTTGAAGTGAGAACGGACTGCGAATATCGATCTATGAATACAGGTTGTATTTCCGGTAGAGTAATCAATCACATTATATTAATTTTAATTTCTTCTTAATTTTATTAGCAAAAAATCCCGTTCCGGTACGCTGCCCGATAGCCGGTAAATTTATGTTCCATCAAAAAGGAGATGTTCTATTTGAGACTAGAATTATAGGCGGCGTCACTAAATCTCCGCGACCAAATATTTATTGCAAACAGAATATATCCGACTTTTCGGTTTGCGATAACGATCAAAAGGAGATCGCCATTGATGAAACGTACTGCTTGTCTGTGGATCACTTAGGAAAACCGGTTGATATTTATAGTGAGTTTTATTGATATTTTGTATGTCCACCTATCCTGTATAGCTGTACTGTCAATATTATTATTTTTACAGGCGATCCTGATTATACAATGATATGTATTGGATTTTGGAAAGAAAACTTAAAATCGTATTTAATAACATTCAGTGAATTGGATCCTTACAGCAAATATCGCTGTTGGGTATATCAGAGGGCTGATTTGAATAGAGTGCTTATGTCTCAGGCCATCGGTCCATTTTGCGATCTCAAACAAGATGTAACAAGTCAAAATTTTACAGAAGGCGCATCAGTCGCGTTGGAGTTACAGGTGAGAATAAATGCCGTTTCAAATATGATGTAAATTCTAAGTAAAACTATATTCACTCATGTATGATCCTTTAACAGGAATACGAGCGAGAACGCGATCGATGTCCAATGTATTTTGATGACGGAAGCAATCCCTGGGAGGGAACGGAGGACACGATAAAGATCTTCCATTTTGGTAGTGGCGGCAATACAAACAGCTGCTTTTCGTTCTTGCTTGTCACACTATTAATAGCAGTACTATGCTTTAACATGTAAATAATTCTTTACACAGGAAAGAACAAAACCGTTTATCGATTATTTCGATACCGCGAGAGATTTCATATCAGAAATATCAAATGTACGCACTTGTAAACCATTCTCACGATAATTTGCATTGCGTCAGCATTCCGTCCATATTGTAATTATGTGGTTACACGTGCCTTAAATTTTATTCGCATCTAATTTTATATAAGTAGATAATACGTAATATGAGATATATTAACATATCAAAAGTCCGTCTATGAGAATTACAAAGAATCTCTTACATAAAATGGCTGCATTCTACTTTACACATTTATTGCATCCATTTTATTATATTTGTATGTACAAAAATCGAAACATTTTTATAGAGACATTTATAATTTCAGAATATTTTAAATATTTTTTAATAATATTTTTAATTTAAATGTTTTTACTGCCTGATAAGACAATATATAAATTAAGTATAGAAAAAAAAACTAATAATAAATGTTTTATTATTTTAATTATGTTTAGAAATAGAATGCACTCTTATTAAATGTATATTATCAAGGACTATTTTGTAACTCTCGATTATTGTAAAATGACATCTCTACAGTCATTAAAAAGTTACAGAGGGTTCTAAGGATATTTTGTACAATTTATAAAATAAATACAATTTCTTGTAATATTTTATATTAATAACTTTTATTATTTTTAATTTATCATATATTACAAAAAAGAGAACTTATTTAATCTTTAAATACTATAATTGCATCAAGGTTACACAAATATATACCAGATTTCTCTCTTCATAGTTTCTTAAAACTTAAAAATTTATTGTTAAAATAATTTAGGTTAATTTTTTCCATTTTTTCGAGCAGAAAAGAATATATAAAAAGAAGAAAAACTATTTCAAGATATTTATAGATTAAAATGTTATTATATATGTGTTCATATTTTTAACTAAAACAAAGACTATTGTTTATATTATATATACAATTCATTACAATATAAATAAATTTCTTAATCAACATTGCAGTTTATTTCGTCCAGCTCACTTTAGGTATGTCGAAGTGTTCAGTTAAGCTATCCAGGTGTCGATTAAATTCTTCCACTCGTTGTTTATGTGTCTTGGAGGCTTTCTGCTTAATCCTTTCAGTTTGCTGCAATTTATTGCAAAAAATGAATTTTATTAGTGTCAAGCTTTTTTTTATTAGATATTACATAAACGTGTTTAAATAGACTACATGTGCTTACCATTTTCTCTTGCATTTTTTGAAAAGCCAGCTCCGCTTTCGTCCGTTTCACTTCTACCGTTTGAGGTTTTTCTTCCTCAATGATCTTTGACACTTCCACCAGCTTCTTCTTTTTTCCATCCTTATCCTTTTTCCTATAAAACAAAAACGATACACATGATTTGTTTGATTAATTTATTACAATAGAAGGAAACGAACAGCATTTATTTATTTAAAATATCACGCGACACAAATACAGAAGTGAACAATCCATGACAAACTTAACCTCATTCGACCAAAGACATTAAATGAATGAAGTGCTTACTTTTTGCTCATTATTTGTTCGTTTTTCAATTTTAGGGTACCCTTCGCAACGTGTGCGTACGGATCATCTTCGTTGTTCGTTGCAGGCATTGTTAATTAATTGTTATTAATCGTATATACCAATTATTAGCGAAGTAAATACTCAGCTCACAAATGTCCACAAAGAACTGTGGAATGTGGAACTGTGATGAAAAGGAACCATGAGAAAACAATTAAATTTCAGAATTGCCAACTGCAAAACAAAATCTGGCAGCTGTGAAAGATGATGTAATATATATTGTTATGACCAAAATACGTAAAATTAATTATTTTTATTCAAAATATAACTTCATTATTAATTTAAAGTATTATATGTTACACAAATAAAACATAATTTGCAGAAAATTAGGATATTTTTAATTTTGAAGGTGGCAATTCTGAAATGATCAATCACGTGATCAATATTTAGGGAGTTTGGAAGAATAAATCCCCTTACGAGTTGGCTAGCTTGTTTTAAAAAAATGTTCATCTAACCTGCACAAAATAATTGTTAAGTATATTCGCGGTTGAAAATTTAAAGAATTTCAAGACCTGTTCTTGCATTTGAATTTAATAATTGCATTTCCCTTCTTGTTAACAAATATCATTTTACGAATTTTTATATGTTATAACTAGACTGCGGATATTTATGCAAAATACTTAACTGAATATTAACTGTCGGACAGTTTTAGCAATCAATCGTTGTTCGTTAAAGAGTCATTGAAAGGTGAAGTAAAAAGATTGAGATTGCGCCATCTGTAAATATTCATTTTATGCAAATTCAGTTAAGTATTTTGCATAAATATCCGCAGTCTAGTTATAACATATTTTGAATGACGTTCATATATAATTATACAGAATAGGTGCCGCAGTTTAAAAATCAATAAAATTAGGCTTATTTGACGCGTTTTTGAAACGAAAGAATTTGAAATTTTTACTTACTGAAATAATTTTGCTTCTATTTCAGTTCCCACTTAAGAAAATGTGGCCCTTGATAGTGAGATCCATGGGCAGATTCGGTAAATACGTTACACTTCCTATCGTGGGTATTATTGGATTTATTGGATATAATGTAGAGGGATGGATATCTGATCGTTATACACCAGCGACAAAACCTATCACACAACAACGGCAAGAAAGGCTACTAGAAAATATAGATTCCTCGACTACAAAGAAGAAACACAATCCTTTAGAAGTTAATCTTTCGCCGTCGTTGTCTAGTTAGGTGTGCATTTTATTATAATTTCGATGTGGAAACTAATTACAACAGAAAGTCTGAATAAAATGTTAGCCAATATTATAAAAGAGTTTATTAAGTTTGATAATATAAATATAGATATTTATCTTTTTTTACATAGTTATCAAAATGTAATAAGTCCTTACTTTTTTTCTTGACACTAATAGAACATTATAGTGTTTTTCACTAGCAGAACTCGGTACACATTAAAGCCGTTGTACAAATGTATTGAGGATTTCACTGATTGACTTGTTTCTATATTTTTATTGAACATACATCTTTGTGTTGATTTGTGTCAATGGTTGTATAGTGCACTGAGTGCACACTAGTTCTGTCAATGAAAAACACTATTATATATAGATTTTTGTGATAAATATTCTGAAGAGAAATTCTAGTAAAGGAATAAAGCTCAAAAACTGATAAATGTATACATACATACATATATACATATATATATATAGTCACAAACCTTTACATGGCTAGAAATAATCGTTATTGTTATCCCAAAAATGTAACGTCGTTATCCATTCGTTACCGAAAAAAGTAACTTGTAACAGTAACATTGTTACAAATAACGCGTTATTTACCAATCCTAGTTGTAATTATAGATTAACACGGTAAAAGATTAATTATTATTTAATATTTGTTCAATTTTTCAAAGTTTATAGCAGAAAATGGAAATGCATTAATTTTCTACTTCAAATTTGTACAAGACAACATGATCGTATGTATCGCCTGGTCGCAACACGCTGTTTGGGAAGTTTTTATGGTTTATAGCATCAGGATAATTTTGCGTTTCTAAGCAAAAAGCAGCGTGACTGAAGTACTTTGCTCCGTCTTTGCCCACAATACCATTTTCAGATACAGAATTGGTTGTGTAAAGCTGAACGCCCGGTTGATTCGAGTATACTTCCAACCGGCGTCCTGAAGATGGATGCACTACTTTGGCTACGAAATTGATTTTCCTGTCATTGCACGACTTCGGCAAGCAGAAATTATTGTCGTAACCGCCGCCCGGTACTTTGTCGATGACATCACCGAACTTTGTTGGGTTCCTTAGATCCATTATGCTGTTCGCAACTGATCGAATCTCACCAGTCGGAATGCTCTCGGAATCTGTGACAGTCCAGCGATCGGCGTGCATAGTGATCACATGTTTATACAATTCTGCTGCGTTTGTGGCCTGAAAAACAAAATGAATAATAATCCATAAGACTTTCAACGCGATCGATCAATTAGTTGTTTAACAATGACATTATTGTATCTATGATACAATTACAAATAGAATTAAGTTACATCTGTCACTGTTTTCTCATATGACGAGCGTATTGTTTGTACAATAAGCCGTTGGTCATCACTCATACCATATCAGCGATAAGTCAAAATTACAAATCATAAAAAAATTTTAGGAAACTTATATCCAATAAATCACATTAGATCATTACAATATTTTAAAAGAGTGATTGTGTTCAGGGTAAATACATTGTGATTGGTCAGTCATAACATGATCTAAGTTTTAAATCATTAGAAATAAAATTTGATCATCTCTACTGATTACTAATTTATTATTATTTTGTAACACTACTGACTTGCTCACAACCCGCTCATGACTTCTAATCTATTACTAACGACTCATTGTAGAAAGTCCATAATAAAACGATGATCTGCGTTCATCGGAGCTGTTCTTTCGAAAACTTGTTCTTTTTTTAATTTATTTCTTCTTTCGTTCAATACAAAATATACATTAGAAGCTGTTTTGTAATTTCTTTGTCTTTCTCGAAAACATAAATACTTTCTGTGTCAAATCAGAAAGAAATGTACTACGTACGTGTCCAGCGAGATTGAAGTAGCTGTGATTTGTTAAATTAATTGGCGTCGCCTTTTTGGACTTGGCTTTCATCTCTATGCGCAACTCTCCATCGTCCGTCAGTTGGAAGCTCGCTATCGCCGTTACTGATCCCGGATAACCCTCATCACCGTCCGGACTGACCAAAGTCATCACCACACAATTGTCCTGAATTGTTGCATCCCATACCTTAGAACTCCAACCGTGAGTACCACCGTGGAGGCTGTTCTCACCACTATTCTTGGATACGTTATAACGTTGGCCATCCACAACAAAAGTTGCTTTGCCGATGCGATTTGCGACTCGTCCAATTGTGGCACCAAAGTGTGGATTGTTCGATGAAAGGTATCCTGAAATATTATTATCTTTCTCATTCGAAATGATTTTGTTCTTCACAGCAACTTTAATTTACATCCTTATGAATTTTTGTATATAAAATTATTTTTATATCAAGCATATTAACTATTATAAAACTATGAAAATATATTTCATGCTTTAAAATATTATTGATACTTTAAATTAATGTATTTTTTACATTGTACTATAACTATTTTCATTTATTATATTCTGTAATTATAGTCCCTAAAATTATTATATTAATTCTGTTACCAATGAATATATTTTGTTACAATTTTATTTTAATTTTTATATCTTTAAGAACAGGCCAAGTAATGAT